CTGTAAGCTCTTGGAGGATTGGCTACATTAGGGGGTGTGGCCTAATATGCAAAGGAGTTCGTGCTACAAAAAGAGCCCTGCGGTAGTGAGTTATGCTAATGAGTTCCCCTAGCTCTTTTTCTACGAAATGACCCCTGACTAACAATATTTGTGGGAGGGTTTGAGCGTTCATGAGTTTCCAAAGAAGTGAGCAGTGGCTCATGAAAACTCCTACCCTTCCACAAATTTTGTTAGTCTTTAAGGTGCTCCTGGACTCTTGCTCATGTATAGAGACAGACTCAAAGCTGCAAATGAGAATGCAGGCAAAGTCTTTGCCCCTGCCCTGATCCTACTGAGCCACCAAAGGTCAGACGAAGGCCCTTGGGGGGAACCAGGTCCAGCTTCTTCTCATTATGCTATTGGGATTCCTATGATCAGCCAACGACAGCCATGTTGGTCGGCTCCCCACATGCCAGGATCCTGCCCTAGTGGACTTAGGGGGCCATTCCCAACTCTCTTTGCTCCATCCGAGTGTGAAGCTGGTCTGCGCAAGGGGGAAGTTGGATTGGGAGCCTGGGCTGGATGTAGCTCACAAGTTTCCAGTTGAGCATTTTCACTGCAAGACATTTCTCCTCCTTGTAGGTTTAATGATGAGGAAGTCTGCACATGCCCGAACACCTCTGTCACGCAGCAGTTTTCTTCGGTTCCCTGGAATTCTTTCAACAGGGGCGTCCTGAAATCCCTCTATGAATTTGCTCCAATTTCTATGCATTGCAACAAGTCCTCAGCTGTCCGATTTCCGGTATGTATGGTAAACAGAGAAAATGAGCTGACCATGGACTTTGTTTAGGTTTGGCCAAACATGGTATCACAGAGCCCCAGACCCTCCATTTCAGTAGAGAATGCTGAAATGCCCTCTCACCCTCGCCTTCCCACATGCAGGCATTGTGTGTTTCAATCACTGGTCCTCAAAAGCAGATCTGATGACCCAGTGAGTCCTCCAGTGATTTAATTGCACATCATATTGCCTCCCCTCCAATCTTATTCATAAACCCCTACAGCAGTCTCTGCAGATCTGTATCATTGTTACTCATTAACTGTGCATCATGCAACCCATTAAAAAGCACAAACATCTAAGAGGGTGGATCCAGTTCACTCAACTTCACCCCATCCCCCTCCTTTCTACATTGCACGTCTCTCAGGCATGTGCAGGTCCCATGATCCCCAGCATAGCTTTCTTTTAAGGTCAAAGGGAACCCTTCCTTCCTTTTTCACCAACAGAGAAGCTGGTTGGATCCAACCCAAGACGTGCAGCATGGATCCACCTCATTGTGGTTCATTGCATGACATGCATCACCTGCAACTGGCATGAGCTTGTGGATTCAGTTGCTACTGATCCAAGGAACATACTCTCATACTTGCTATTGATCACAATCACTCACCCAAAATAGTAAATATAGGTAGTTCTCACTTTGGAAGTAGAAAATCACAGATGTTGGCAACATTCCGATCCCCAGCTCTTCAGTGCTTAAAAAAATAAACACCAAAAACAACCACAACCCAAAATACACCAAAGTTTGCCCTTTCTCTATTTTGGACCATTCCAGTCCAAAGATAGATTTTGTTAAAAAAGGGGGGGGGGAGCATGTGAGTAATCCTGGCCAAAAGGGACAGATGACAGACAGCATCAGTCATTTGAAACCTTTGCCTCTCCAAAATCAGGCCACACGGTTCCTAATGAAATTTGCCACTTCTTTTTCAACCATCCTTCCTTTTAAACATCAAGGGAAGAGCTTTGCAAAAAAAGAAAAAGATTTTGTGAGGATGATAGTAGCTCCTCAACATTTCAGGCAGCTCAACAGGATGTATTTTTAAATAAACATACTGTTTTAAAACAGTAAAACACAGCTTATCGTTAGTCATATAGTGAAGACTCTTGTGCGGCGGTGGCAGCAGCTGCCAAAGCAACATTAAAAAAAAATAAAAATTCAACACAGCCAATTGTATCTTGGATGCCCAATCAGAAGCCCTGCTGGATAAAAGCCCCACCCACTTTCTAAAAATACTTGGCGGGTGCCAGGAAAGGCATCGGCAGGGGTCATTGCACCCACAGGCACCACCGTTGGGGACTCCGGAGTTAGACGGAAGGAAGGTGACTGACCCAAGGTCAACTTCCATGAGCAAGCAGGGATTTGAACCTGGGCCTCCCCAGTTGCACTCCATCATCCTGAGGAGGAGCCCGGCCTGGCTTTCTATCTGCAAGGTACTGCAGCAAGCACATTGCTGAGAGCCATCTTGGAAAAGCTGCTGCCAGCCGAAGGAGACAGTTCAGGCTAAGGAGCTCCCAACCTTTTCCAAACAGTCGACTGACTCCTGATTTTCTTGGCAGTCAATCCATAAGCATGGGAATCATTTTGGAAATGGTTATTCCACACGGCTGCCCTCCCTCTGCATTTTCACAGTTGTGGAGTTAGTTTAGTTTCTTCTGCGTGTTCCTTTAATAATGAAGATGTTCAAGGGAGGGTGCCGTCATCATTGGTGGTGTCATCAGTAGTGTCATAGCCCCCCACTTAAAAAAAAAAAACTACCCTCAAATATTGCTGGAGTGTTGTAACAATAGGCTTAGGAGGTTCTCTGAATTCCCATTTTTCCTTTTAAAAAAGAAGTAAGTCTCTAGTCCTTCCCCTTGTAGAGATAGAAGGAAAAGTAAGTAAGTCTCTAGTCCTTCCCCTTGTAGAGATAGAAGGAAAAAGGCATATGTCTGCAAGGGAGGAAGCTAGAGACTTACTTTTGAAAGCTAGAAATTTAGAGAATCTGCTAAGTGTATTGTTACAATGCTCCAGCAATATATATTTTAGTGCCATTAAAAAAAAAACTACTCATCTTCAGGGTGGGGGGAGGAAAAGGAGTAGAATCATAAAGTTGGAAGGGACCTCCAGGGTCATCTAGTCCAAGCCAATGCAGGAAATTCACAACTACCTCCCCCCTACACCCCCAGTGACCCCTGCTCCATGTCCAAGAGGTGGGGAAAAAAAACAACAACCCACCTCCAGGATCCCTGGCCAAACTGGCTTTGAGAAAATTGCTTCCTGACTCCAAAGGGGCAAAGAAAGTGCCACAAAAGCTAAGCACTGATACAACCCTTCCTGCCCTCCCTCTCATGTTCTGCCTAAATTCACAGAATCAGCATTGCTGTCAATAGCCATCTGACAACTTTGCACCATCCTCTACATGGCAGCCCTTCAAGTACTTGAAGATGGTTATCCTGTCACCTCCCAGTCCTCTCCAGACTAAACATACTGAGCTCTCCAGACCCCTCACCATCTTCATTGCCCTCCTCTGGACACATTCCAGCTTGTTTATACCCTTCTTACATTGTGGTGCCCAAAACTGAACACAATACTCTAGGCGAGTGTCTAACCAGAGCAGAGGAAAGCGATACCATCACTTTGCATGATCTGGATACTATACTTCTGTTGATACAGCCCAAAATCGCATTTGCCTTTTTAGCTGCTGAGTAGTTTCACCACCAGGGTCCAATCAAGGGAAAGTGGGCTGGAGGTGGGTGGGAGTGGATGGGACAAAGGAAATCGACAAAAACATTACACACGAGGGAAAAGGCCACTCAAAATCAGCTTCCAGAAAAAGATCAGAGTAAAAGTGGTCTCAAAAGAACTAGGAAAGGAATGGGCAAAACCAAACAAAGTACAAAGTGAAAACTAAAGGCACAAAAGTGCATGCAGAAATTGGGATAAACCAAAGCTGTATGTGGCCAGAACCGACCAAAAAAAAAAGTGGAAAAGGTCTCAGACTCACCTTCCTGCCTTTACTGTTACTTTTCCTTTGCTCTCAGTGTTCACAAGACCTTCCAGCAGGAGGCACAGTTGGAGTCCAACCCATCTGAAGTGTCTGTCTTTTCTCTGCAGGGCGAATGGGAGAAGCAACCTCTACCGAAAATTACTGAGGTGCTGCCCAGTTCGGCCCCACACTGTGAGCACCGTCTAGGCCATCTTCCGACTTCTCCCACTCTTGTGAAGCTCGAGAGACAAGAGCCAGGCTTGGCGTGACCCACAGACAGCGTTCGCTTGGCCCAGTGCCACGAGGGCTGCCCTGGCCACACTTTGATTTTTTGGACGTCTGCAGCAGGCCGAGGTCTGGTGTTGCTTTGCGGGGAGGGATCTGGTTCCAGAGTCTGAGCACAGCCCCTGGTACCGGCCAGTTTTGAAGGGACTGACCCTGGCTTCCTGGGCAAGCAGAATCAGGTCAGTGAGGAGCTTGGCAGCATCCAGAATAGTTTGGTCTTTCAGTCCCCAAAACAGGTTTTCTGGCCACCAGACTGATCCAGAAAAAACCCAAATCCAGAAGCTACAGCTGGTGCAGAATGCTGCAGCCAGGCCGTTGATGGGTCTCCCTAGCCGGGACCACATCCGGCCTGTGCTGAAAGCACTGCACTGGCTGCCAATAGCGTACCGGATTCACTTCAAAGTGCTGGTTCTTACCTTTAAAGCCCTATATGGCCGGGGTCCAACATACCTGAGGGACCGCCTTTCCCCACATGTTCCCCTGCGAGCACGACGGTCGGGGACGCAACATTTCCTGACGATTCCAGGCCCCAAGGAGGCCAGGCTGGCCGCTACCAGGGCCAGAGCTTTTTCGGTGGTGGCTCCTTCCTGGTGGAACGAGCACCCGGAGGAGATCCGAGCCCTGCGGGACCTGGCGCAGTTCCGCAGGGCCTGTAAGACGGAGCTCTTCCGCCAGGCCTTGGGGTAGGAGCCGCCACTATCGTACCATCATTATTAACTGGCCCTGGGAAAGGAGAATGACAGCGCCACGTGGAGCTGATAACACTGAGTGGATATACCATCTAAGACACGTCATCTTGATGAAAGCCTTCATTTTAGAACATCTAGCGCACTTAACATGTTGTAATTTTGTAATAATGGTTTTTATGGTTTTAATTGTTTTATGTGTTGGCGTATGCCTATTTGTGAGCTGCCCTGAGCCTGCATTGCGGGGAGGGAGGGCTATAAGTTGAAATTATAAATATAAATAAATAAATAAATAAGAGGAACCC